TGTCAACTAGCACTCCCTCTTCTTCTACAAGAGTACAATTGGCAGCTTCAAGTACTTATCCATGACAAGGCTTGACATTGCCTTCTCTTTGAACAATTCCTGTGGTGCCTCACTGCTACATACCTAACTTAATGGCCTTGCAAGAATAAGAGTAGGTATTATGACTTTTTTATGATGAAACTCGAATGTCACATTAATTTATTGATAAATTTTATAAAATTGACTATACAATGGGTTATGGTATATTTCTGGAGAATGTACTTATCATTTTGTTTTCTTAATGACAAGGACTCTCAAGCAAACTTATGATAGATGGCTTCCAAAACATGCAATTATTGTTCCATGTAACAATATTGAGATTGTATATAACTTTGTTAATTAACAATCTGATACACACAACATTGGAGTTTGTTAATTACAAATTAGAAATAAACAAATTATGAAGTTTGAAACTTGAAAATTTGGAGTAAAAAAGTTAAAGCTTGAAGTTTGAAGTACACAACTTGTGGTTTGAAATTTGAAGTATGCATTAGTAAGGTAAAGTATGGTCAAATAATAGTTACCTTTAAATGAATATATGTGAGCAAGATTCATATATTAGAAAATTGTGGGATTAAATTATCTTTTGTAATACTTTACCCAACATCACATATTATCCGTAGGTTTCTCATGATCACAATTAGACATTGTGTATTTTAACCTAGCAACATAAGTTAGTCAAACCCTTCCCTTTCTGTTAGTGTTTTCAAATTGTGTCCTTAATGATACAAGTACACACTAAACACTAAAGGTAATAAACATGTTATTAAAGGCATCACCGTAACAAATGTTAACATAAACTATAAAACAGAGCACCATATATCATCAATAGGTTTGTACTGTTAGGGTTTTTTACATTCATTGAAGGAAGTGGTTTTTGTTCTGCACTTCCATATGTTTGTGATGTACTTTCAGGGCTGACTACCATTGACTTGATTTCTTACGCAACAAGCTTAGGAATAGAGAAAGGAGTGAGATGAATGGGTTTTCAAAAGGAATATATAAAACTATATAGGATTAGTTAACAACATTGTAAATTTAATTTTATAAACAGCGTTAGGATAGAAAGCAATGATAGCATTCAAATTGAGACTAAGTTTTATTATAAGGACTTATTTACAATTTTTTTATTTGTAGGGACTAAATTTCAAATTTGTGTCGGGTACAGAGAGACCAAAATACAATTTAAATGTTACTTAGTCAAAGAAAATAATTTTTTTACCCACATAAACTTGTGTGGAAAAAATGATTATTTTAGTTAATACGCAAATTTATTTATTTGAGTAATCAGTTTTTAGGAGTATGTGCTCCTTCAAATTTTGGTTTATATTTTTAATTATTAATTAAAATTTATTAAAAAATTTTAAAATATAAATGTGAAGTATTAAATTAAGAGTGATATATATATATATATATATATGAAACATGATCTTCTTATATCTTTATAAGTCTAAAATCTCTTACACTCAATTTGAGTATTTTATTTAACTTATATATCTATGGAGCATGATCTTTTTACACCTTTTAATAAAACATTTTATTATAAAACTTTACTCTGTTATTGTCTATGTGTTTAAGTTTAGAGACTAAAATGTTTAACAAAAATGAAAATTAGATACTAACATGACATTTTTAAATTTTAGAAACTTTTAAATACAAAAGAATTGCATCTACCCCTCTTAGGTGCCTATAAAGTATAAATCTCCAATATCAACATATTTTAAATAAAAAAATGTTCAGAGGACAAGTATATCTATTGAGAAGTAATAGAGGGTTCTAAAATCAGTTTCTGAATTATCGTCCTACAAAAATTATCTTCCAATTACTAAGAATTTTTTTATTTGATTGTTTGAAGGTAAAGGATGTGAGATTGCAAAGTTGAAATTAAAGATTCCAAACACTTATCACTAGATCTCAAAATTAAAATCACAACACACGCCTTAAGGAAAGTTATAGGAAGAAAACTTAGGGCATATGAGTTTACTTATTCAATTATTTATGTTTCTTTTCTAATTAATTCTAGATCTAATGTTCGTGTAGTTACCAATCATTCATACAATTGTTACTAATACTCAATGGTCATGTAATATTAATATTCTTTCCTTAAAATCAACACCCTAATGGTCATGCAAGATATTAATTAAGGAAAACGTGGAGAACCTATGAACTTATTAATCTAATAATGATTGAAAGGGAAAGAATAGGTTGGTCTACCTAATCCTTTATCTCATTTTGTCCTACGAATTTATTAATTAATCGAGGTACAATCGCCTAACGATATAATTAATTAGAATTATGTTACAAATGGCCAGTTCACAATACACAATCAAGCGCAGTAAGAGAAACTCTAATCATAACGAAAATCAAATATAAATTTAATTATCAAAATCTCATAGAGTCATGGACAAGGGTTCCCATAGCCCTAGCTATGAGTTTAGCTACTTATACTCAAGAAAGAAATCCAAACATTTGTAATTAAAGCCATAAACACAATCACAAACAAAGATGGGAAACAAACTAGAGGAAAGATCTTGTTCTTTAACTCTGATCGCTTGAAGATTTAAATCCTCCAGGAATGTACTAGAGATTTCGTGCGAATGAGATGAGAGAATCATGTAGAACTACGATGTTAAGTTTGCAGAGCGAGAGAAGAAAAAAGACAACTAGCCACTCCCCTCCATCCTCTTTTATATCCCCTTTTTTGGGATCTAAAATCATGTAAAATAAAATGAACTACGCAGGTTAACACGTCTGTGCCATATGTGTGCACGGGTGTGCTTACATAGTAAATGTGGGCATGCTTTATATCAACATGACCGTGCTTGAAATCGAGACATGGGCGTGCTGAAAAGAAAGGACTGAGCGTGCTTGCTTCTTAATTGCTTGATTTCTCTTCAATTTGCGCCCTAACTCTCTAAAATTCATGTGAGTCTTCACACATGCCCATCTATAACAATTAGCAGAGTAATTAGTATAAAAACCCCTTCAAAACATAATAAATGCACATGAGCATGTCCAAAAAATGCATCAAAATAGGCGTATCAACCTGCTCATACTTAAGCTTTGCTTGTCCTTAAACAAAAGTCATGACAGAATCAGAAGCAGATAATCTATACACTTTTATCCAAAAACGTTTCTCTCCAAGAAGGATGGAAAAGAACCAAAAAACAATTTACTGAATTCGAGCAATAAAAAAAAGATAGGTAATCAAATTCTTTAGCTCTTGCAGTTTACACACTACTAGGGTACTCCTTTACTTCTCTCTCAGAGTGTTTAATGGGAGAAGGGATTATCACTCAGCTTCTCCAAAAGAAACTGTATTATCATAGGCTTCACTATAAACGGACTTTCTACTAAATAAATTGAATGCAAGTAAGAATCATGAGGTCTTTTTCATGTTATAATATGGCTAAGGGGTTATAATAATTGAGGTAGGATAAATGAAAGAAAAGGACATACAAAGGGATTATAAATATTACAAACGTCCCCTAAGTTTTTAAATGAAGCTCTTTGAGTAATTTTTATTTTTATATGCAAACAATATCTTTATTTCTCTCTTCTTTCATTCATATATAACCTTTATTTATTTTTTTTATTTTTTAAATCTTTTGAAATCACACGTTCTTTCTTTTTGCACATGAGAGATATAGAGGAGAATTTATTAAACAATTCAACAACTCAACTGCTTCATTCATAAACTCAAGGTCATCAAAACATTCTATAAATTTAATGCAAGGAACCAAGAAAATCAGTAAAGCTCAAAGTGGCTAATTAGTTGTATCTTTATATCAAACATATTAAAGACCAAGAAAAAAAAATCTTATTATGTCTTAATTACATTAAAACATGCAATCAAAAAGAGTAATTTCAAGTGGTTATAAGTATGATCGCTTGAAGATTTAAATCCTCTACGAATGTGCTAGAGATCTTGTGCAAAGAAGATGAGAGAATCACGTAGAACTACGGTGTTTAAGTCTGCAGAGCGAGAGAAGAAAAAATAAGACAATTAGTCGCTCCCCTCCATCCTCTTTTATATCCCTTTTTTTGGATCTAAAATCATGTAAAATAAAATGAACTGCGCAGGTTAGCACGGTCGTGCCATATGTGTGTACAAGTGTGCTTACATAGTAAACGTGGACATGCTTTATATCAGCACGATCGTGCTTGAAATCGAGGCATGAGCATGCTGATAAGAAAGGACTAAGCATGCTTGCTTCTTAATTGCCTAATTTCTCTTCAATTGGCGCCCTAAATCTTCCAAATTCCTGTGTCTCCACACATGCCCATATATAACAATTAGCAAAGTAATTAGTGTTAAAATCTCTTTAAAACAATAATAAATGCACTATAAGTATGTCCAAAAAGTACATCAAAATATGAGCTTATAAAAAAACATTCATTTATTTTTCTCACATCTCTCCTAAATTTTATTAATTCATGAACTATTGGTCTATGTCCCTGAATACTTTAACTCTCAAAAATCCTAAGATATTTGTAGTTATTTATTACTATCACAAGCTTCGTCGACAGCGCAAATAAATGACGATCTCAGCATATCTTCAACCAAAGTTCCAAGTCATGCCCATTTCCCAGCTCTTACATCTTGTGGTGAGTACATGGTAACTCAACGTAGATAAGAAAACACTCACTAGATGATCCTAATATTCAACAATATTGATGCGGTGTCAACAGCTCTCAAGTTCTTTTTTATCATTGATGAGATTTTTCTCCCTGAAAGTGATGATAATTTTGTTCCATAATATGACACACATTATACTTAAGTAATCATATAACTCCTCAATTTGTGCAAAAATTGCATATATTAATTTAACTATTTATTTCTTATTTGTGTTAATTTATTACTTTTTCCTTCTTTTTTCTCTAATGACTCGCACGTTAGGAGAACAAGAATAAAGTACAGGATATTAAAGTGAGAGAATAAAATTATTACAATTTCGTTAGACTTGGCAAAGCAATTCAAGGCCTTTCCTCCTTAAAATGTTCGCCGAGAAATGCTAAAATTATACAAAAAGGGAAAAACCATGCTAAGAAACAACGTGTGAAAACGACATTGGAGCGAAAGTAGCATCAACTAAGGAATGCCAGGAGAAATTTTCTATGCTAGTAGACTACCATGGTCTCAACCAGTATGCATTTTTCAAAAAAATTAACTAGAGTCAAACTATGAGTGGCTGTAGTTCCCTGCCACCCAAAAATTTCTCAAATGCCAAAGGTTTACATTGCAGTGGAGAGAGAAAAAACGGATAGAAAATTCAGAATCTTCCACATAGAAGTTATTCAATTAAAATAAAGATTAAAAAAAGGACGATTTATCCCAGTAAAAATGTGATAAGACACGAGCAATCTATCATAAAAAATTAACATGTTCACTAGTCCAATTACACGCTATGAGTGTTCCCTCCAAGGACACTGTTAATGAAAAGTAGATTCCAAACATACCTGCTGCCAAGATCTAAGATAGGCTACTAATACTCAAAAACCTATAATACTATGCAACATCAATGACAATGTTTCTTCTTCCGTCAATTACAAATTCACAATTGCTCAAGAAAGTGTAACGCAAGCCACAAATCATGGCTCCATGTCTATCCCCACTCTTCTCTCTGGTAGTACAATACTGTTTAGATACCAGCTATTCCCCCATGAACTCTGCCGAAAACAAACTGCTTTCATAGACCAGGTGAAAAGAAGAAATTTTCTAGTGATAAGCTATTTGAAAAGAACAATCTTCAAAGTTGAGTGTTCTCATATCAGTCCCTGGCGCTGTAAGTCAGTGTATGTCTTCTTATTATATATGTTGCCTTCTTTGTCTTCATACTCTTCCTCTAGATCTGGGCGCCACTTGTTCACTCCTTGTCTTTGCTGTATCTTCTTCCAAAGATCTTTTGCTTCCTGCAACATTGCATGATAGCATGTAAGACACTATAGATGTCACAGGTGAAAAAAAACATAGATTTGTCAGAATCATCTAGAGTGCCAGCAAATTACTAGGGTATTTTATATTAAGAGCTACTTTTCATCACCAAATTACCATCATCAACATAAAGTTTTCAAATCATCACAAGAATAAAATGACAAGAATCAATATTGGAACATTTAGCAATAACATTATTATAACATTTGATTTTCTAAAAATTAAAAATTACATCTAAGTCAAGCAAATTATGTACACCAGGGGAAGTTTTCAGAGTATACATTTGCAAATGCAGTTTCAAAAATGCCTTGAGCATTTCACATAACCAGAATCTTATTGAGATGTTCAGGTGTTTTCAGAGGGTACATAGAACAATGCAGGACATATTTATAAGTAACAAAATTCTGAGCATTGATAATATTATGATTATACACAAATTATTAGCTCTTTTCCTTGCAGTGAACGTAGCAGTGGACAACCATTGCCGCATATTGCATGCACATCACTAATTATTAATCAAACCCTGAAGTCAGATATATTTTAATTCAGACTTTTTAAGTCATACACCTCAAACTTAATCAATAAATGGGTCTTGCTAACAACTCCCGTAAGGACACTGGTTCAAAAATCAATAAATTAAAAGATTTTATTGAAAATCACAATGGGAGTGCAGTAGTAAGATTAAATATTACACTTTCTCATAAAAAACTTTTGTGCTACATTTCTCATAAAGTATACGAGCAAATTTGAATACTGAATGATAAAGTTATACGCTAACATTTTAAAATGTGCAACATTTCAATTGGTCATAGGCCAAGGAGGAAAAACATAATGTCAATGTAAGCAATTTCAGTTTGTAATCATGAAGTATATATCCAGTAGGATTGAATAACAAAGCAAGAGGTGTGTGCACTTAAACAAACAAGTATGCACAGAAGATGGAAGTAATTTATATTTGTGAAATATGCTACAGACTGTCAGCTATCAGCAAGGGAACAAAAGCATGAAAAAGATAAAAATGCATACCTCAATTGATGTTATTTCATTGAAGTTCTTAGTATTTGGTATACCAAGACATCGCATCCCATGTTGATGGCGCCATTCTTTAAAGTGTCGTTCAAAAGCCCGACGCCCCCAATAACTGTAGTTCCCACATATCTCACATTTAAATTCCTGAAATGTATATTATATTATTTAATTGCCAAAATATTGTGAACCATAAAGAATCCTATAACAAGTCCCTATCCTTTTAAGTCAGTTAACAGATTTATCTAATGTAACATGATACCGTTACTGCCAACAGGTATAGGCAGATGATAACAACATTTCCTTTAAAAGTTTTTCTCTTCTCTTGTGGAGGAGGAATTCTTATAGAGGCCTTAAACAGTTTATGACAACCCTCAAGACTTTCGATAATAACGACATCGACTGCTTGAGATTTTCAATGAGAAAATATAATTCCAGTCTACAAAATTTAATGGAAAATAAATAATACCTGACCCAGACCATGTAGCTTATACAGCCAATAAGGTATAGGCTTCCCATCCCACCCCATCGGCAATTTTAGGGGATTATATATCTGCTGCTCCTCATCTTCGCTTTCTGTGTCCTCTTGTGTCTCTTCCTACAAAGGATCATATAATATAATCACCTATTAAATGAGTCCATATTTGGAAGCAAAGAAGGAATAGATGTAAACAACCAAAATCAGAGAAAAGGTAATGTCAATGGGGGATGAGTGATAGCCTGAAACATCTTTTACTCTGGTTAGTATGGACTATGGACCAAGAAACTTTGAAAACATAGAAAGTTCTAAGCTGTCTGAGAAGATTTTCAAAGACAAAAAAGGGACAAAAGACAATAACTACTACGACTACTCACTAGGTACATTTAGTCAAGCTTCAGAGTTTTAGGCATCTTAAAGTCAACTCAACAATTTTCTCCTCTCAAGCCCAAAATTCTAATCGGGGTGCCATATCATTCTTTTTTTTCCCTTCACCACTCATTAAAGATCCCAGATGATGTAATCTATAACAGCATACTCCTTTCAGAATTCAGAAACAGGGAAGTTATACTCAAGCCAGTACTGGAGACTAGTTTATATAAAGCAAGTAAGTGTCCCATTGGTGGGATAAAAATCAAATTACATTTCTAGATGAATAATTCAAAACATTTCATATGCTTAAATGTTAATTGCAAGCCAGTCATGCCACCCTTATCTCTCAATAGATCAAGAAAACAGGTGCACCTCCTCGACAGCTTAAGCATCAGCTTAGTAATTCATACATTTAGATTAGACTATTATGTTTACAATAAGGATTCATCAACTTCAACAAAGTTGGCCATACATATAAGACCAGTTCAAGTCCACATCACATACAGGTAAAGAAGTTCAAAATAAACCACACATGAAATCATGGAAAAATAATAGTCTCTCAGTATGCTTAGATAGCTTTAGTAAATATTGTTGATGCAATGAAATGGACCAAAGTAATCTCAAAGATCATTCTGAATATAGTCATCATATATATAATTCATATAACTGTGTCAATAATTGCCTTAGACCTTAGTCTCACAGAAAAGCTATCCTCCCAAATTTGCATTTAATGTGTTATATTTATGGCATTCATTTACAAAGCAATAAAACTGTAATTTGAGAAACTATTATTATCATTTATCACAGTAATGCACTAGGGATCCAGAAATTGCTTTGACTCACCTCCTCACGCTCTGCTTCAATTTCCTCGTATGTCAGGGCTTGCTTCTTTACAACATTGTCTTTTGTTCGAGCAATTGTCTGCATAAAGGTCAAAAAACTTATACATCCCAGCAGAACTTTAGATACATTCAATCATGATACAGGCCCAAAATGTCAAAAAGACATCAACGAAACTAAACTAAAGGAAATTAAGCATGATGTGCTAACCTCTTCTAACAAATCACACAGCTTTTTCATTTTGGCTTCCATCAATGCAATTTCCTTAGAATTTCCATCTTCTTGTGGAACTGCTCCAACCCCATTTTTTTCTAAACCACGTGCCCCCTTAGCAAAATGCTTCCTGTCCAACTTTTCAAGAGGTGTGTGCTGCATAAAAACACAACCAGAGAATTTGTTAGGTCAATCTGTCAAGCCAGATTCATTATACTTATACAGATATATAGCCTACACGAAGCAAAGCTACCTTAAAAAAAAATTCAATGAACCAAGTCTTCTTCAAACCAAATAGGAAATCAGGGGTCAAAGTATTTTAAGTCAATTTTGATATACACGGTAGAGTGGAAATGTCGCTTGTGAAATAGTTAATGCATTGATGCTTTCATAGGATTCAAAATCTATGAGGTAATGAATAAGCTGAACAAATTCTGAATTTCAAGTACTTTAATAATAAATAGAATCAGGGAAGCATAAAATTATAAATTATGCCATGTGCCAATTATCTATACATTAGCTAGTTTTCCAGGAAAATTAATAGCCAAGGAGGGACCAGAGCCATAGGCCAATGTAAGTTAAAAATATCTTAATTAGCAATAGCCAGTAGAACTGTCAATTCGGGCCCTGCCCAGTAGGTATCAGATTCTGACTCTGATAAAAGAAGCTCCTGTCCCGATCTTTGGATTTATGACAACCAACTTGGAACACAAAATTAAAAAAAATAAGTGAATTAGTATCTCTCATGAGACTTCTTTTGAATTGTGAGATACTATAGCAAAAATAATCCCTACATTCCTATTTCCTTCCAAAGAAAAACTATAAAACAAAAAGAGAAAGTGTGTCTGTACACTACGTAAAAGGGTAAAAATCACCTTTGTGAGGAAAAGCCTCTCTGCCCGTTGCTGAACAGTACCACCACTCTTAAGCCCCAATGCAGCAAGTGCCTATCACATCAAATAGCAGCGCAGAAAAAGAAAATAATCACAAAAGAAGTTTTACTCAAATAAATGACTGGCTAGAAAAGATATTTAATCTTTGTAACTTCATGAATATTGAAACTCAACATATTAAGTTTACAAAAAAGTGATGATGAATCCTTGTACATCACCACCTACATTGTTAATGGAAAATAAGTGCAAGCACAGGTGCACACACTGCACACATACATACACTCATTCATAGTCCTCAATTTTACCTCCTTTAACCTTTCAGGACCCACTTCCATCAGCTCTTCAACTGTACTATAATAATCCAGATCAATCGTAGTGTGTTGAGTGGGTACATGTCCATTCTCCTGATTGTCATTCTCCCATCCCAGCACCATTCCAGCAGCCCAATTTTCTTCAAATTCAGTCGTTACCTGCCAAACTTATATCAGATTCTCCCTCCCAAAAAAATACAAGTGAAAATAATGCACAAGGATGGAAATCAAGATTAACTATAAAAAATTCTTGCACATCTTTTATGATGCAATATAAACTCAACATTGCTACAGCCAAGAAACAGAGGAACAGACTTGAAACATGAAACAGGAATTATTGAAGATAACTGTTAAAACCTAAAAGTTCATTCTTAGCCAAAGGTTGTCAAGCATTTCAGCATAGAAAAATATAAAATATTAAAATCATAAATTCCATTCTAAAGCTGAAGTCTACTGAAAATAGGACAGCGTCTAATATCCATGGGATTTCAGCTTTAGTTAAAAAATATTTACTTGCATCAAGAATGCTATAGAAAATGGGATCATGTGAAAGAGAAAAAGTCTAAATTTCTTTATAAATACAACAACAATAACAGCCAGGCTTTTTTCCACTAGGTGAAATTGCCTACATGGATCAAACAATGCCATAATATTTTGATATAAATCATTTCAATAGACAAACTATTGACATCTATATCCTTCTTAATTGTCTTGCTTATAGTTTTTCTTTTCTTTCCTCTATCCCTATCTCCAGGGATTGGGTTACCCTGCCCAAACCACCAAAGGTGTATTTTTACCACCTTTTGTATGATAGTTACAACCCTGGCTTTTTCTTTATAAAGACCAAAATAGAACAATTGATTACTGCCTTTTCATAGGGGAAAAATTTATGGTAACAGAACGTTTAAAATGTTGAATAAATTGGCACAACAATTATAAGCATACATACAAACACTTTGACATCCCAAATATAACACTGGACTGGATTTCATTAAAACAAAATTATTAGTAATAAAAACTTATCCAAATTATTCACAGCATAGATCAATTAAGTTTCTATTCCAGCATTTTCAGAATTATGAAATGATAAAAAAAAAAAAAAACTATCCCTACCATGTGGCTCAAAACTATGTGAAAAAATGCTACAAGTTCAAAACATTGGTAGGATACAACTAATCACCTTTAAGAAAATTCGATCAAGATCTTGCAGGGGTTCTGTCCGCTGGAAAAAGTATAGCAGATACTCCAGAAGATTTTCCATATATTCCCAGTACTGTCTGTAGAGATTGAACAGAAAAAAACTTAGAAGCCTGTACAAATTCCATACAAAACTAGGATGCACCTAAATGAGAAAACAACTCACCTGGTCATTTTCATTTTGCGAGGAATCTTATCTGTGTCCGGGAAAACATCAAGGTATGCAGAATACTCAATTGGCTTGCCAAATTTAGAATTGATATAGTGATAGTATAATTCATGCATGTCTAAGTAACGACCAAAAGCTTCCTGGAAGGGAATTTTCACAGAATCAGTGATCAGAAAAGGCTGCAGGAGCAGAAATTATCGGTACTGGAAATGTGACATTGCCTCTCCTAACAGTATATTAGGTTAGATCTCATCTTGCAAACTTAATGTGCTGATTGTTTCCATAAAACTTTACCTCAGACACACAAGCTCTTCTCTGCTTTCACATTTAAACATTTACTCATGTACAAAACCAATTGTGTAAATCAAAATTTCCTACAGAACTCAATTTCTTACAGAATTCAGTTCCCACATGCTAAGCCCAGTTAAATTTCACTAAAAGCAAACAGCATGTTATATATTTTCATGTTCACCAGAGCATTGCTGATTACACACAAGGAGAGAGAGAGAGAGAGAGACAAAGACCTCTCCACTAAACTCAATTTGAGGCTCCTCTTTAAGAAGTACTTCATAATCGTCATTAGCATCAACAACACGTGCAGCTGGGTGCTTCCTATGATACTCTCGTATCTGCAATAACACAAATTAAGTAATCCGTCACACATACACGAGTAACAACAATCAAACATCTGCAAGAACTCAGCTCCACCATATCTAAACATTTATTTCCTAACACAACCTAGCCAGCTTAAATCTCTAATTCTCCTTCCAGCTCCACAAATAAACCATGAATCTGCAGGAGTATAGATTTAAACAAGGAACACTTTCTATCCTCCAAACTCCTGCTTGATGCTTCAACCCTTGAAATTGAAAAATACAAGACAAAAGTTTAAGCAAGAGAAAAGACCTCTTTGAGCCTATCATAAAAAGCACTGAAAACGTTAATTCCGGTGGCAGTTTGTCCTCCGAGTGCAGCAATCTCATCCTTCCTAGCATTGTCGTTATCTTCATATATCTCAATCTGAAACAAAGAGAAGCAAAGTAGGTTAGAAGAACGTGAATATGAAAAAAGAAGGAAAACCTAATAAGAAAACTTACAAGCTTTTGAGTGGTGGAGGAAATGGTGTCGATCATGTTGCGTACACGGTGACTCTGATACAAACGCTCCTTGTTGGAGACCGGTTCATTCTGAAGGTCCTTCACTATCAGCCGCTCCAACCGCTCCACCTCCTCGTGCGCTCCCCGCGTCACTTCCAGCACCGTCGACGACATTCTCACTTTCTCTCTCTTTCCCCTCTCTCACAGGCTCAAATCTAAACCGCTCCAAGCAAAACAAAGCCCAATACTTTCAAATTTTTAACATTCCTGTTGGACCTCTGAACACCAGCCCAATGAACTCTCTACGTCAACAGGGCTTGGAGACTATATAATTTGCTTGGCCCAAAACACATTTTATTTAAGTGTGTCAAAAAGGAAAAAGAAAATTGATGTACTGTGTACTACTGGTTGTTGGCCGTTAGGTGTACTATTCTGTCTGTACCTATTGTATATATTAATTTAAATCGTATCTATTTTTTGTTTTTGTAATTTTATATGATATTTTAAAATAATATATATATTAAAATAGGAAATTTTATAAAAAATTATAAAAATATGAGAATTAAAAATAACAAATTTTTGTACAAATATGAAGATTCGGAGTTAAAATAATTTAAAGTACTAAAAACTGTTATTGACAATTTTTGAAAATTTCTCATATTCTTATAATTTTTTCAAAATTTTATATATTTGTATGAAAAAATTGATATAAAAAACCTATATTTTATTGAAACATATGTACTCACGCATTAAAAGAATTTTTTTTAATAATGAAATTAATTTTTTCACCTATAAACCAAGAAGCTTTTTACATGTTAGTGGAACCTTTCACCTAACAGGCTAACACCAAACTTCAACCCAACACCAAACTTTCAACTTACCTGCACGTTTGCCGTAAGCACACAAAGTACACCTCCCCGTGAAGATAGAACTGTGTCAATAAATACTAGTTATTTTCTCATTGCATCCATTATTTTTTTCGTTGCACCGTCCAGAACACACACAGCAGTGGTTAATGCTCCAAATTTGATGCTGATTTCAGTTTCCAAAGTTGGCTTAGACGTCTCACTAATCCAGTCTCTTACCCAAGCACTTCCTCAGATGCGTACTCCTCCTCACACCAGTCCACCGTAGTACTCTCCTCAACAGGGTCTCTTTATACGAGAAGTTCCAGGTCTCCCCTCCTCGGCCCTCCACAAACACACCCCAGAACCAGCGCCCCTTTCGCACCTTTTTGAGTTTTTTTGGGTGTAGCTCGTCGTCCAGGTGCATTTGATTTTACCCAGAACTTCTGTCCATGAATGATATGGCTTCAAAAGCCACTGTGAGAAAAGTTTCCTGGCTTAGGGAACAATAAATCTCTTTTTTGTGTGTGCTCTTGTTTTGGCGCGCGATTGAGCCAACCGCAGACTTGAGGTGTGCGTAACATTTAAGTTTTTATCTTATATCGTGAGAAACAGAGAAACGCTCAAAAAAATATTTTTATTTTGCAATGAATTATTATATTCAGCTGTGTGTACCGGATAAATGTTTGCGCTTATCATTCGGTCATTAGTTGCAAATTTCGACGTAATCACTATCATTTTTAGTGATCATTTAGGATCTTAGCAGTGGTTACCCCGAGATTTTGCGGCCAATGACTGAATTATGAGCGGAACACCAGTCTAATAATTATTACCCACGGCTGTTCAATATAATAATTCATGTTTGAAGTTTCCACTGCCTAATGAGAAAGGACACACACTTGTACGTGTTTATATCAAGGTAAGCAAAGAAAACGGGACCAACATATTACAGGATTCCACCCTAGTTTCTATCTCATTAATGCATCAAGGTTAAATTAAACATGAAGCTATTTAAAAGTGTTCAAAAACTAGCTTAGAGAAAAAAGAGGCACGGGAAGAAAGAAAGAAAGAAAGAAAGAAAAAGACCTCATGATTTGTCGAAAACTCGATTGGACTTGGAAGGTTCTTAACAGCTGCTATGCCATTGCTGTCTCCAAGCCGTGTCGATGCTGGATCAAGTTTGCCATTAATCGATATTGTGTGTCTTGAGTCTGGCTATATATATGTATAAAATAATGAATCTGGCTTGACAGAATGACTTAACAAATTTTCTCTAGTTGTGTTCTCTATGCAGCACCCACCTCTTGAAAAGTTGGACAGGAAGCATTTTGCTGAGGGGGCACGTGGTTTTAAAAGGCGGGGTTGGAGCAGTTCCACAAGAAGATGGAAATTCTAAGGAAATTGCATTGATGGAAGCCAAAATGAAAAGGCTGTGTGATTTTTTAGAAGAGGTTAGCAGATCATGCTTAATTTCCTTTAGTTTAGTTTCGTTGATGTCTTTTTGTCATTTTGGACATGTATAATGATTGAATGTGTCTAAAGTTCTGCCGGGATGTATAAGTTTTTTGACCTTTATGCAGACGATTGCTCCAAAAAAAGACAATGTTGTAAAGAAGCAAGCCCTGACATACGAGGAAATTGAAGCAGAGCGTGAGTTGAGTCAAAGCAATGTAAGGCTTCTAAAAAATTTAGCGATCCATAGTGCATTACTGTGATAAATGATGCAATAGAGAAAACGGGCATACAACACGTACGAACTGCAAATATTCATAGCATTACCTAGTCAGAAAACAATTTTTACCCACATGACTTGGGTGGAAACTGGAAAGAATGATCGTTTTAGTTGATACGCAGATTTATTTATTGGAGTAATCAACTTTTGAAAGTGCGTTCCTTCAAATTTTGGTATTCTTAGAGGAGTGCTTAGTAACATGTTATTTGATATATTTTTAATTATTAATTAAAATTTACTAAGAATATAAATGTAAATTATTAAATTAAGAGTGATATAACTTAATGTATATTAATATTTTTTTCTTCATTTTAATTATAAAATACTGTATTTAGTAAATTTTAAAATTTTGCATTGTTAGGATAATTGGCTCATATAATCAACAAACACAAACTTGGTAGATATGTTAATGTAAGGTAGAGTAAATAAATATAAACTTAATTAATTCATAATTCAATTCTTAATTTTATCGATAATATACGATTCTAAAAATTATACTTTAGACAAAGGTGTCTTGAATTAAAGTCATCCGCAGTTAAAAAGATAATAATAAATGATCCTACTCTCAAATAATTTTTATATAGGAATTTAATATATATATATATATATATACACACACATTTGAATGAAGAGCAGAAGAACCGTTTGCGATTAGCTTTAAAATCGTAGAAAATCTTTGCTTGTTCCTTATTGGATATATTTAATACATTTTTTTATTTTATGTAATAGATATATAAATTAGTTCTCTTATCAATTAAAGTTTTTGGAGGAGTGATTTTTTGGGTATATCTATTACCTTACTTATATGTATATTATTGTTCATTTTTATATGATTTTTGTATAAAAATATTTTTTTTCTTATAACTATATTAATAATGAAAATATTTTCCATAATTTTTTTAAAATTAAAGTAACAATATACATATGCATGTGATAATAAATACTCTCATAATTTTTAATATAATATTGATGCTTCTTCCATGTTATAAGTGCCAATGAGTATGAGTATGAAATGAAACATAAGAGACATTTATTATAATGTTATATATAGGAAATTGAATTATATAGTATTTTTTTTAAAAGAATTTTACTTAATGATCACATTTGATTTGAGGATTAGTCTCAATTATATATAAGCATATATTTATTTAAAGTAAAAAATCGGCACTTTGTTTTGACAAGTAACTAAGTGTAGATCAAATCTTACACTTAAAATCTAAACTCTTGTGAGGGGACGCATTAAATATATGTATAGTATTAACGTTAAATCTTCGTCTAACATTAAATAATTAAGAAAAATAGTTTTTAATACATGATTTAATAAAATTTTTTAGGAATTAATTATAATTTTTTTCTGGGAGTGATGGTAAAAGTAAAGAAAGATTAAAAAGTTTTAAATAATTAATAAATGATGTGAAAAAATATAAAAAGTTTTTATTTTCTTTAATTAATCAAATTACAAAATTAGGTTGCCTAATTCATGCAAATGGCGAGTAATAATAATATGATCTAGATATATTAGTTAGAAATTTTATTCATAATATATTTATATAAAGTTTTCTTATAAATAAGAGAGAAATAAAAAATAACAGAAAGAACATCACAGACACACAAATTTATATAAAACATTCTTAACTAACATGATTCCTGCTAAATTTGTTTTGACAGCGACTTATTTAATTAAGAGGAGATAATTTTTTTAAAATGATTGAAATAATAAGAAATAAAATAAAAACTAAAAAGTATGTGTAGAAACGACTCATTAAATTATACTGCTTCGGGTTAATTTAGCAATACACACATAGATTGTGAGGCAATGCTAAAAAAAATGATAAACAAAAATCATTAGTTTTTCCTATTAACATTGGGGCAGATAATGTGATTTGGCTACTGCATAAAGTGGTGACACTTCTAAGGTATCAATATTTTGTTTATAAATTTTTTAGTTTAGTAAAAGGATAATAGATTATAAGCTAAGTTTTAGTAATAAAAGTTAATACTAAAGATCAAGCTAATTTTGCTTTTCACATACGGGGTGAAAAAATCTTACACGGCTGACATTAATTAAATGTTCCTTTTTACAGAATTAAGTATTAATATATTACATATCTTTAGCTAAATCTAATTTAGAAATAAATTAACTAAACATATTTATAATACTGATGTGTTGTATGAATATTTTTAAATATAATATATAAATAACTCAGATTTAGTAAGAAATGAGCAAATTTTAATGAAAAAAAAAATCAAAATCCAAGAGCATGTTTGTTTTATTTTTAAAAATAGTTTATTTTAAATAAAAATATATTCTTATTTTTTATATTTTTTTTGAAAAAACTCTTTTGAAAATAGAAACAAACATAGTCTTAAAAGTAGTTAAGATTTACTATTTATAATATATTTTGTCGAATTATGAGTTAAGTAGATATTAACAAAATTTATTGAGTATAACTTAACTGAAAAGATAGAAAATAGCAAATTCGCTAACGTCCTAAGGACAAATTCCACCATAACGGTCTAATGACAAATTCTAAGTAAAATAATTTTACTTATTCAGCAAATCTAAAAGTTTCCTGAAAATATGCCATGTTTAGAGGCTCTCACTGTTATCACTCTTTCACTGAAAATATATACTGTGATACAGATGATT